AGGTTATGATTTTGACAACACCGTGTTGTAAATGCTTACATTCCAACGAATGTTGTGAAGAAGCCAACAATTGTTGTCATTGTGAATACGTACAATGGCATATATTATATGTATTCACAACGACAACAATTGTTGGCTACTTCACAACATTTGTTGGAATGTAAGCATTTACAACACGGTGTTGTCAAAATCATAACCTTAGTTTTGTCAGTGTACATAATTGGATCTAACTGATATCGGTGGAAAGAACTATATCACTCATATCGATTTGAGACTATCGTGAGTAGCTCAAATTACTAGTTGAACGTCAAATGATACTCATGGTCCAATGGAAAACATTAAACTCTCCAACAAACCACCTTTTTATCGAACCAAACTATGGAATTTCTGTGGAAATGTTTAAAATCGTAATTTTATGATTAATTTTATCTTATCAGTTGACAATCGTCTCTTTTGAGTGTCAAATGGGTGTCGAAAGTGAGAGCTAAGACCAATCAATAATTTAGTTGAATATAAAATGAAAGATGTAACGTATCTGACCTCTTGCACGCGACGACAGAAATGTCCATTTCTTAAGGGTTTTTTCATTCTTAGAATGAGGTAGCAAGAATAGGTCGATTCGTGTCTCGGCTTTTCTCGCATAAAACCAAATGACATTCAAAAATAACGAAATAAATTCGTTTGAATTTTCCTAATGAATGTAATCTCTATGATTGTTGAGCTATAGAATAGAGAATAAAACACAAAAAAACTATAAAAATGAAAACTCTACACATACACACAAAAATCTATATATTATATATATTTTTTTCTCTTGACATCATATTTGGAAAATCCGGTGCTATTTTCACATATATACTAAAGCGTTTATCGCGCAATAGCTTTGCCAATATATTTAGCATTTGTTAGCCTAATCACATACATGTGTAATTCACATAGCATATTCATATATATTCAAAACCATACATTGTTGTACAGGCAGTGGCTAAAATCTTCAATGGTGCAAAAATCCAAAAACAAACACATACTTAGACGTTTAAAAAAACCATTTATATTTATCTCTGAATACAGTTTATAAACGATCGATCAATAGATCGAGACAAATGAAACGAATAAAAATGTATTACCACGACTGCCAATAAATAAGATAAAAAAAAACATGATTCCTGACCTATACCTATAGGCATTTAAAGTGCACATAAAAAGAAACAAACCAAGATATGAAAAAAAATGATAGTTTTCACTGTAAATAAATAAGAAACTAAAAATAAACACATACTCAATGTAGCAAAATCGAAGAATAGCAAAAAAAAATGAAATATGAAATCGAACGTATACTAAAAAAAAAGAATTAAATTCTACCTTGCATTATTATAGACACATTGGAATCGAATATAATTCGAATATTTTTCTGAAAACAAAAATGTTCCAAGATTTGGTTTATCTCTATTTTTGTCTGATTTATTTTGATGATTGATTGATTGAACACTTGATACAGCTTTTTGCGTGCTAAGTTAAATTCTATACTAAATATATATTTTAGGCTTTGTTTGAACATGTTTGAATCGGTCAATCATTTAGCAAGAATTTTAACAAAAAAAAAGTTTTTTTGTGAGTATAGGATTAAGGTCTTAATTGGCAATTGTTCTTAGACTATTTCGGTTTTCGGAATGAAAACCATACACAAAAAAGCAACTGCATTTCTTAATGTAAATACATTGCTATAGCTTCAAATTAGTACTTATTTGTTGATCACATGAAATGAAAAAAAAGTTATACGAATAACTCGCGTGGTAACAAGATCGACGCTGATTTCTGAGAATATACGTAATACATTGTTAAATCGTGGTGGCTAATGCATTTTCACAAGTGCACGACTATTTAACTCGAATATGAGCTTGACCAAAATATAATGCATATAGCGCCCAGTCTTGTTACCATTCGCTTTTTTTTTTTCATTTTGAAAATAATGCGAAGAGCATTAACTATAAATTTGAAAAAAAAAAAAACCATATTTAGCTTATATCAAAAAATTTGAATAAAAAAAGAGAAATTTGCTTTGAACGCACTTTGAAACGAAAAAAAAAAAAATTATAATACAGAAAAATCATATATATTTTTTCCCTTCAGGTAATTACATTTTCTCTGAGATCCTGAAATGTTATCAGGTGGAGATCATGAGAATTGACGAGAACATTTTTTTCCTTTCATTTATAAGATTGTACTTAAGTTTCATGTTGCATTGTACTTATTCCGAGTTGCACAAAACAAAAGGAAAATCTGTAAATAAAATCATTTAATAAACAAGAATTTATAAATATTTTCGTGATGTTTTATTGAATCATTCTTTTTTGTGAACTTTTCCAGACAATTTCAATAAATATTATTAAAATTGATTAAAGTCAAGCTGCTGTATACCTATTTTTGAAATGAATTCACGTATTCTTATAACTTTTGTGACAATCTAATGGTACTATACTATAGAAGAATAGGTCGAGAGGGTCGAAGAAAAGGTTTCTGACTTTAATATTTAATGAATTGATTGCTTCTATACAATTTTTCTTATCATTACAAAGAAAATAAATAATATAGCAAAATGAAAAGAGCTTTCAAATTGTTTTCTTTCGGTGCAATGGAATTCGTTGAAACCTTACAATAAATGATAAAATGCTCGCGTCCATTCATCAATTGGATCAGTGTAAACTGTGAATCTCTTCAATGAAGTTTAGTTTTATTTTTTACCACCATCAGATCGAGTCAGTAATGTACGTACTAGTGTAAATTAATTGTGTTAACAAAGTTAACAGTGTTCACTTCTTGTAACTGCTTATAAATCTCCACTCCAAGTGTCTCAAATGATGGACGCGATTTGAATTCTTTTTTCCAACATGAAAACATTATATCGTATCTATAAAATATATTCCTTCATTAATGATATTACTCCCGCGAAGAAATTCATTTGTAACTTACATAGCTTGTGTGGCAAATTTTGGTTTCTTCAATCTATAACCTTCGTACAATTTTATAGCCAAATCGGCAAATCCGATCACATTCTCATATGGCTCTGATCCAAGTGAAAATATTTCCCAAAGGACAATTCCAAAAGACCACACATCTGAATATACACTATACTTATTTTGTTGTAATGCTTCGAGAGCTAACCATTTCCATGGAACTGCTTCCTGCAAATTAAATTCAAAATTATATACGGATTTTTTATGTTTTCTACATAGCAATTCATACTTGACTATTATTAGTGTAGAGATTGTCACTATTTAACAAACTTTTGGCCATGCCAAAATCGCAAATTTTTATGACATTATTGGCACATAATAAGATGTTTCTCGCTGCCAAATCTCTGTGTAGCACCTTTTTACATGTTAAATAATGCATCCCTTGCGCCACTTGGAGAGCCCATAAAAGAAGATCGGTCGTCGTAATTCTATCAACTGAATATTGAAGTTATAAATAGAAAATATATTCTTTCAATCGATAAACTAAATTAATACAAAGTTTATAATTTAAATTTATAAATATTATATAACTTTTCACTTATTGTATTGTCTATTATACAATAAGATACATGAGCACAGTCAGAAAGGTAAGCCATCAGCAAATCGAAAAAAAATTCCTTGCTAAAAACGGAAGGGATTTTTCATTCGGATCAAATTTCACTCGAAAAATAATGGCAAATCGAATGAGGTGGCTCTGTAAGTTACAATTTAAGGAGGTCCGGGCTTAGACTCTTTGTACCCACATATGTATCATAAACTAATTTGTTATTAATAATTACGAGTAGTGTAATCGCCGATCGGCAATTATACCTAAAAAATGCCCCAGTCTTGGGACATATCCCGAGTGTTCAAAGCTGAAAATAATTAATATGAATTACCGATAAAATACGTTATTTATTTGAAATTTAGATTCTAAATATAATGTTCTAACACAAGGTGCCGAAGGGGTAATTTAACCGTAAATTGGAGTTTGCTAAGAGAAACTTTATAAAGTATTCAGTTAGTTTTGCTCCTTGTGGGTCTAATCGTTGTTTTTCTCATTTTGTATGTTTTTTTTCTTTTTGAGGAAATTTTATGCCCCTTCAGTTAAATTGTGTGAGAACCAGTGATGGTTTTTTCCTATCTGAATAGCGCTAGCTATCCGCAGCGCCTGTACAGCATTGCTGCCCAGATGCTGAATCGTAGCGGTTGCCGCACGCGCAACACACTTCGTTTGTACCACACGTTCGCGTTCGTTCTCTGTTCGACATGCGTTTGTATACTGACTATGGTATTAGTGTATCATACTCTGTGAGCTCACTGGTTATTTAGACTATATGACAATATGTTGTGTGGTACAAAACGCGTGCGGCAACCGCTTCGATTCAGCATCTGGGCAGCAATGCTGTTCAGACGCTGCGAATAGCTAGCGCTATTCAGATAGGAAAAAACCATCACTGGTGAGAACATATGAATCGTTGCGGTGAAAAAATGCATTTCATAAAAAAACTTAATGTTGCAGAAAAATGTTGGAAAAAAATTATTTTATTATTCGCTGCCGATGGGAACTAGTATCGTATATTCCCCATACAAATTAATTTTATCGATTCTACGAATACGACATCTGTTAAAAAAGATACCGACATCTGTTACTACTGTTGCTTTGACACAGCGCGAGCGAACTATACGGCTATGGCTGTATTACAGACAAACTAATACAAAAGAACACACAGACTCCGATCCTGTGTATGCGTATGTATTGTAAATTTTGCACAAGCAGCTACGATTGACGACTGAGTGCAGAGTCCTTTGTACGTTTACACGAGCTGTATTAAAACACCACTAGTAACAGAAATCGGCGAGTTTTTTAGTAGATGTTGTATTGGTGGAATCGATAAAGAAAAATCTACGATATTAGCGCTCATTGTTCGCTGCAACGATTCATATGATAGTATTGCTTAGAATCTTATCATTAAATTACTTTTGTGTTGCTATAGTTGAAACAATCGTATTATTTTCATGATTCATTTGGTCAATAAAACGTTCGCTATTAGTCTCTAATAGTTTTTTGATATTACCATATTCACAATATTCCATTACAATCATCAACTCTCCTAAGAATGCAGAAAGAATATTTAGTAAAAAATTAAATATTATTTACCATAATCGAAGAATAATACTTGCTTTCTGATCAGCCCTTTTAGCCCCTGAGCAAAGGATGCAAATATTTAAGAGCTCACCAGACAGAAAATATTACCCTTTGACTAGTGAATATAAAAAATTGTATTTAACAAAAAAGAAAAGTGAATATTATGAAATTACGTTGTTCAATGTTGTACATGGTAAGGATTCCAAGTAAATTCACGACATTTAAATGCGGACCCAAACAGTTCATAATCTCCAGTTCAGATATAAAATCTTTGTGTACCTGCACATAATAGTTTACATAAAACATATATTGATGTTCTGCTATATTGATATTTTCAATTTTTGTTCAACGCGATTATTGATGATAATTAGCGGTTCACTGCTCGAAATGCATATAAACAATTGATGACACTAAATCAGTAATGTGCGAGCAAAATTTTCCAGGGAGGGGTGATTTGAAAATTTTCTTCAACAAACCCTAGGTAACCTTCGCACATTACTGCACTTAATGTATATAGTACATACTACACACACAAGACACTAGTAGAAGAATTGTTTAGATATGTTGGTACCCAAATTGTAAAAATGCCGACTTACACGGAGTTGTGCGGGGCAATGCATAATTGTGTCAATTTAAACGAGAAGAGTTTTAAGAAACATGCGTACGCATAGTAACCATTGCGTGGATAGAGCTCCTTTGTGTTGTTATACTGTTTCTCCCATCTCCGCGTAAGTTCACATTTCATTGTATGAAAATACCAATAGATATTTTGACAACTGTTGGTAAATTCTACAAAATGGCAAATCTGCTACTAGTGCTTTCTCTGTGTAAAAACTCAAATGATACCAATTATACACCAAGGTTTAATAGTTTTCAATGAAAAAACACTTACGACATCTGAATTTCCATTCAACTTTTTGAGAGCAACTTTTTTAAGGCCATTAGTCAAATTACGATGTACAAATCCTTCGTAGACTACACCAAAATGACCAGCACCAACCCGTTTTTTGTATTTGAGACTTTCTGGTGAAAATTGATAAATTTGAAAAGGAAGAGAGTGCGAATCATTCAATACTGGACTATCTACGTCCATTTTCTCTTGTTCTCCTGCAAAAGAATTGACGTGTACCGAAATATAATCTTTCGCAATCGATTCATAGTCTACTTCCATTATTTCTTGATTCTCTTCAATTTCCATTCTCTCTTCTTCCTCTGGATTGTAGGCTTGTGTATTTGATTCATGGACTAATGCGATCGTCGTTGGGTGTTCGTCATACTGAGTAGAGACGCATGGCCTTTTTGATGCATGGCTTTTTTTAAATAAGTCTGTTATCCTTCTTTTATTTGAAGTTTTCTCATGAATTTTAGTACACTTCACTGCAAAATTTTCTTCCATTTGCAGCGCATTTAAATCGATAAAATGTTGCACAACATCAGGTTCCATAAGACCAGAAATTTTCTCCTCAAGACAATTGAATAATGGACGCGATTCGGGGTCGGCGTCCCAACATGACATCATAATATCGTATCTAAAATATGTCTTTCTTAGTTATTGTTATATTAAACGTTAAAACCATTCGTAACTTACATAGATTGTGTGGCATATTCTGGTATGCTCATTCTCTCTCCATGCTTTAAATAGCTTTCTAGCTCGTCAAAAGTATCCGCCTTTACTCCAAGATATGGTTCTGCTCCGAGTGAAAATAGCTCCCATAAAACGATGCCAAAAGACCAGACATCAGAATGTACACTGTACCTGCTTTCGCTTAGTGACTCGAGCGCCACCCATTTCAATGGGACTTTTTCCTGCAAATTTCATTCTTATATTCGAAGTATATTCGTATGTATTGAATATTAAAATCATATTACTTCATCACGTTTATTACGATAGTATGTTTTTTCATTACTCAAACTCCGTGCCAATCCGAAATCACTAATCTTAACCACATTATTTATACACAGCAAAATATTTCTAGCAGCCAAATCTCGGTGTAGAATATTCTGAGAAGTTAAATAGTGCATTCCTCGCGCTACTTGAAATGACCAGCAAAGTAAATCAGTCGTCGTAATCGAATCGATCTTTATATATTCGTTTCCAACTAGATCTAGAAAGAGAAAAAGTTAAAGTCTCTTCATTATTTACGGCCACAAGCATAGAGGCTATACGAGTCTCTTCACTAGATGTTCGTGGAGATTTGTGTAGGGAGATTGGAAAATATCGTATAATAATTGTTCTATAGACTTGGATTTTTATTTTGTATTATAAAAATATATATTGGTAGTAGTAGTTAAAAATGTCGTTTTTTTTTGTAAAAATACAACATTATGCGTATCATTACTTTGACAGTGACAATTAGTGTATCTTAAATAGCGTCAAAAAACTATCAAATTCCATCTGTCAAAGTGAACACAAGTTTATACACACAAGTTTTTTATTGCGTTCAAAATGTCGAATTTCGTTCCAAAAAAAGAGCATTTGCGGGAAGTTTTAATTTGCTTCTTCCATCTAAAGAAGAATGCAACTGAAGCACATCGTTTACTCACTGAAGCATATCCGGACTATGCTGTAGACATTAGAATGTGTCAGCGTTGGTTTGCACGATTTAAAAGTTGTGATTTTGACACGGAGGACAAAGAACGTCCTGTCCAGCCAAAAAAGTTTGAAGATGAAGAATTGGAGGCATTACTCGATGAAGATTCTGGTCAAACGCAAGAAGAACTTGCGAAATCGTTGGGAGTAAGTCAAAAAGCCATTTCCGATCGCCTAAAGGCTCTTGGATTCATTCAAAAGCAAGGAAATTGGGTACCACATGAATTGAAACCAAGAGACGTTGAAAGACGATTGTGCATGTCCGAAATGCTGCTTGAGCGCCACAAAAAGAAGTCGTTTTTGCATCGACTTGATACCGGTGATGAAAAATGGATTCATTACGACAACCCACAAGAAATCATATGTGAAGCGCGGAAAACGAGCCAAATCAACGCCAAAGCAAGATATTCATTGTGCCAAGGTAATGCTCTGTATTTGGTGGGATCAGACATCAGAAGGGTGTCCTCTATTATGAGCTATTAAAACCGGGTGAAACGATCACGGGAGGCCTGTACCGAACACAATTGATCTGTTTAAAGAGAGCATTGAACGAAAAACGGCCAGAATATGCGACCAGATATGAGTCCATAATTTTCCATCATGACAACGCTCGGCCTCACATTGCTCAGCCGGTTAAGAACTATTTGGAAAATAGTGGATGGGAAGTTTTGCTCCACCCGCTGTATAGCCCAGACATTGCCCCTTCTGACTATCACTTGTTTCGATCGATGCAGAATGCCTTGTCTGGAATACGCTTCACTTCAATTGAAGGTATCAAAAATTGGATTGATTCGTTCCTAGCCTCAAAAAATGAGCAGTTCTTTTGGCGCGGAATCCATATGCTGCCAGAAAGGTGGGAAGAAATCATAGATAACGATGGCCAATACTTCGAATAATATGTTATTTACAGAATTTATTAAATAAAGTTGTATTTTTACAAAAAAAAAACGACAGTTTTAACTACTACTACCAATATTTTTTATGATTTACCTGTCATTGGATAGTAGTCATTGCATAGTTTCATTCTAAGCGAAGAGCTATCCGAATATTCATCAATGCAGGATTCTTCATCTCCTTCGAACTGAAAAGATTATCAACGAAATCGTTTTGAAAAAGAAATATTCCCGCTCAGAATTACAGAACTTACTACTTGATCTTGTTCATTATCACTTCTGTGGCCAGTTGAGTGTTTTACATTCATTAGAGTTGAATCAATTGAATCTTTTTCATAGTTAATTTGATTGATGAATCGTTCATGATTATTCCGCAATAAGTCCCTAATATTGCCGTAATCACAGTATTCAACAATAATCATCACTTCATGTATAAATATGCAGAGAAAACGTTGAATAAATCTTTATTTTTAAAAATTATTTATAGAATAAAAATGATTTATTTACTTCGGGAAGTGGCAATATTCTCGGTGACAATTCCAAGTAAGTTCACCACATTCAAATGCTGTGTTATATGCATCAAAATTTTGATTTCAGACACTAATTCCATTAATACCTGCACATTAAGGTGGTGATTTATAAAATGGTTAATAAATAAAATAATAGTGTGTTCCACATTCCACATTTCACTATTGTGGAAGTTCCCACCAAGCAACATATAGTTTAGTAAGTTTCTTTTGAACAAATCTATATATTTGTATATTTTGTTAGGGTGGCCCCGTATTCGAGCACAAGAAGTCGATTGTCATATTAATAGGTTGAAGCACCTTGCTCCCATCAATGCGAATGTACAAATGTATACAGAGCATGTCATATGGCATTTTGCTTGCCTGCGTCGCCTAGCATGTATTACACGGTGTGCAAAATTATTGACTTATTAATGAAAATGCCTTGAGCCCATTAAATGATTTGATATGTAATTTTTTTTTTTTTTTGATATTCTCTGGAGGGTAGACACCGATTATAAAACTTTGAATCATGTGAATCCCAATGAATCAGGTAGGAGCAAATAAACCTCTTTTTTATACCAATCGATTTCCCGTGAATGGTATGGACACTCGTCCAAATGTCGGACTATTTGTTTGAATTTTCAACTTCAATTTAATATTTAACATTTTTGATTTCATGAAAAAATATCACTTTATACACAATTCGATGCAGAATTTAATTGTGCGTCAGTCACGTCTCTCAAAAGATAGTAATTTCCAAAAATGTATTATTTTTTTTCATTTTTCCGTCAAAACATCGAAAATTCCAAATGTCGGATATTCGTCGTTCAATTCTCGGCTCCCTAATCTCGACATATTTCATGCATTTTCACTACGAAACTTGTAAACTTTAAGTTTTGACAGCCCATGAACGCACTATTTACATTGAGGTAAACAATACAAAATATTGGAGTTAAAATTATTAGATTGATATATTTTTGCTCCATATTTAAATTTATTTATTTTTCTATAGTAAAATGGCAAAAATATTTAAAAATATTACGTTATTATTACTGATCTAGAATATTTTTGTTTTGAATTTCACAATGATCCGAATGCGATTTTAACTGTCACATCTGTCAAATCATAAGTGTTTCACTTGAAACGTTCAGTGCTTTATATTTTGGCAATTGGACGATTTATTTCGGAATAATAATAATAATAATAATATTTATTCACCGCCAAAAACTGGCTGAATCATGTTTGAGTGTGTACATAGTTTTTATACATGTATGGTGGGAAAAAGGTTTGAATCAGTAATCTGATCACCATTAAAAACCACATCTTTTCAAAAATTAATAATTAAATATCATTTCCAAATCGAATTTGGAGAGAATTTGATAAATATATAAATAAATAAATAATTAATAGTTGATATCCATATTGCACCAAGTACAAAGAGTCAAAGAAAATATGTAAAATATCACATTAAATCGTTTACGAAAACAGTATTATGATTCGACACTATTGACAGGTTAGAAAAGTGTTCATCGCTTAGGGCTAATAGTTGGTTTTTGAATGTTGATCTTTTTGTTTGAGTTGAGAATAGGTCGTGGACTTTGTTTGACATTTTGCACATTTGATTGAGTGGAACCGATGGATTGATTCTCAATAATTTATCGTTGATTTTGAAAAACTCAACATTTCTCAGGTTACGTTCGTTTTGATTACGCGCAATTTCAGTCTTCAGTGATGGGCAATGGACGTTGTTGTGTAGCAAATCGAATATAAATAAAATTGATGCATTTATACGGCGCCTTTGAAGTGACTGCAAATTAAGTTTGTTCAGACGAGTGCTGTATGATGAGATTTTGAAATCATTTGAAATATTTGGGTATTCCTTGAGTGCAAACATTGTGAATTGACGCAGGGTTGATTCAATTTTGTTTTTATGAATACCATGGTATGGGAGCCAAACTAAACTGCCATATTCCAAAACCGATTGAACAAGAGCACAGTAAAGAGATTTTAGCGTACTGACATCAGGGATATCGTAGCAGAATCTTTTCACGAATCCAAGTGCAGATGTCGCTTTGGCCACAATTGAATCGATGTGTTTGACAAAGTTGAGTTTATTGTCAAAGATGATTCCTAAGTCTCTTTGTTCGTTCACTCTTTTAAAAATGTGATTGCCATAAGAGTATGAATTGATAATTTGGTCTCTTTTTTTCGATATTGACATGACTGAGCATTTATCAAGATTCAAATGTAGTTTGTTCGTTTTGCACCAATTTTTCAGTTTGTCGATCGCTGATTGTAATTTGATTGTGTCATCGATGTTTCTGATAGATGTTGCCAGTTTTAAGTCGTCCGCAAAGAGAGAGATGAAAATGTCGTCGTCTTTGATGGCACTTATAATGTCGTTTATGAACAATAGAAATAGCGTGGGGCCCAAATGGCTACCTTGTGGTACTCCAGAGTTTACGACAAACTCACTTGATTCCATATTCCCATATTTGACAACTTGGCTGCGATTTGACAGATAAGATTTGATCCATTCGGTTAAGTTCGGTGGCAGATTGAATTTTGTTAATTTTGAAATCAAAATGGAATGATCAACAATGTCGAATGCCTTGCTGAAATCGGTATAAAGTACCTCAACCTGCTTATCGTCGTTCAGTGCCTTTATGGAATAGTGCACGAATTCCAATAGATTTGACGAAGTTGAGCGACCCTTCATAAAACCGTGTTGTTGAGGAACGATTTTGTTCGACACCATTTTACTGAGCTCCAAATTGATCAAATATTCGAAAAATTTGGCTATCGTTGGCAATTTGGCAATGCAACGATAGTTTTCAACGTTTGATCGTGATCCCTTTTTGAAGATTGGACTGACGGTGTAACGCTTCCATCTGGTTGGAAAATGTCCAGTAGAAAGCGATTCGTTGAATATCATCGATAGCGGTTCGTACAGTAAGGCAGCACAATTTTTGAGTAGAATTGGATGAATTCCATCTGGACCAGCGCCTTTCTTCGAGTTGATTTGAAGTAGCGCTTCGAAAACGGAGAATTCTTTGAGTTTGAATTGATCGACGTTTGAGTTTGTTTGAGATGGTACTTGAGCTGCATTTTGAAAATTGGATGGTTGATTCGCGAAGTTATTTTTGAAAAATGATGCAAACATTTCGGCTTGCTCCTTCCTGTCAACTGATGATTTGTCTCCAAAATTTTGCAATTTTGGATCACAGTCACTATTTTTCTTCGCATTGACAAAACGCCAGAATGATGATGGATCGGACCTCAACGAAGAAGTCATTTTGTCAACGTAAGTGTTATAGAGCTCAGTGTTTAGTTTGGTGAACTCATCGAGTGCTAGAAGATAGTTGGAATTTACACCGGTTACTTTTGAACGTTTCCACTCCTTGTTCTTTTTGTTTTTGAGAGACTGTAGTTGCTTGTTTTGCCACGGACATTTCGATTTGACTTTTTTCGTTTGAATGGGAACGTACTTATCGATCGCATTGTTGAGAATCTGGTGCAAAGTATCAACTTTTTGATCGAGTGTCTTGTTTGAAAAATGCTGAAAGAAGTCGATTCGATCAAAATATCTGTTCATTGCGATGTAGTCGGCTTTGAAGAAGTTTCGAGTTGAGATTTGCTCTTCTTTAACGTCGTTTAAATGCCATTCATACGTCAGTAAGATGGGGGGATGATATTGTTCATCAATGGCAGATAAGGGCGGCGGGCAAGTAACTTCTACATTCGTAAAATCATTTGTGAAGACCAAATCAAGGAGTCTATCACTGGCATTGCGAATGGAATTTATTTGGTAAGCACCATTTGATGTGATGCCTCCAATAAAATCGGCCGCATGTTGAGGAGCGATGCAAGTTGGGATTAGAACATTATGTTCAGCATCATCCGTAATCCAATTGACCAGGGGAAGATTAAAATCACCCATAATAATGATGGTGTCGTTTGGATTCGATGGAATATGGTCAATTGCGGACAAATGGCTTTGAAAAATATCCGGCTGTGAATGTGGTGGAATATATGCCACATAATGAAAACATTGAATTTAGCATTAATGTTCACTTTAATGCAAACATATTCCAATTGGCTTGCATTATCGAGTATAATGTTGATGGATGTTAGTTTAGAGTTAACTGCGATGAGAACACCACCACCACGACTCAACAGTGAACCAGTCTCGTAACGATCCTTGCGAAAAACATGGTAAGAATTGTCAAAGAATTCTGACGAAAAGTGTGATTTATTGAGCCATGTTTCCGTTAAAACGACGATTGAATGAGCAAATGCCGACGAATTACCAAAAAATTGTTTGGATTTAGTACGAAGACCACGAACGTTTTGATAATAAATGTTTTTACTCACTAAAAACGATTGAGGAGACTGCCCAATTGTTTGACTATTTGGTTCAATAGTCCGAGCTCCTCTTGACCCATGAACCGATTGTCCCGATGTTGTGTTTGTGTTTGGCTGATGTGTGGTGCACGACGAAAATGTTGCCTTCCCGACTGTATTTTGTAAGGGGCCCGGATGTTTTTTTGATTCGAATTTGAATTGGATTTGAAATTTTTGTGTTCGTTCCTACTAGCCGTTGATTGTGAAAAGTGTTTGTTTTGATCCGCAGTAAATTTTTGACGGTTGCGATTTGAATTTGATTTGAGAGAGTGCCGATCTTTGTTTGAGCTTACATTTGATCGTTTGATTGAGTGTTGTAAATTTGAGTTTGTTTTATTTTGTTGTGGCTTCCGAACGGCAAATGGATTGACACGAAATTTATTTGAATGTGACTTTGATTGTGATTGAGACTGTAATTTTGAGTGAATTTTTGGTGAGCGCACAATAAACTCACTTGCGGTGACACTATTTGGCCAAAATGCTGGATCCATGTAACAATTGTAGAATTCCTTGTGCACAGTCAATTTGAATGAGACGAATGACAACTTTTTTGTATTGCACTTAGCCGGCAATAGCCTTTTACATTCAATAATCTCTGTTTGGTCACGATCTTGGGAGCTAATATGGTCTAAAATATTCATTTCAGTTGCCGCCGTAGGGAATGGTGTCAGATAAATGCAACGATAATTTGTTGAACTGAATTTCGGTGTGAATAATTGACTTAGCGTCGAATTTTGAGTTTCTGGAATATTATCAATCGAAATCCGACGTCGTTTGCCTTTTGGATTAAATTCAGTGCATTCTACTGATTCATTATTAAGTCCATTTGTTTCCATTTGTTGGGTATTTTGGATGGGAATTTGAGTTTGAATGGAATCAGTAGAATTTGTCGATGGAATGGTAACTAAATCCGCAAGTTGATTGCTTTGTTCAGAGATTTGTCGTGACAGCTGTGATTTTTCTGATTGAGTTGTCATTTGTGTAATATTTGAGTTTTGTTGCATTTGCTCTCCATCCCGAACACAAAATGCGGTAATATTTGGCAAACAATTGTCACAGAACCATAATAAATTATCAATATAAAATATGGCATTGAATATGGTTTTTTTGAAGTGTTTGTTTGCACTGGAAAGGCAAGACAAATGATGTTTGTTGCCACAGCCAAAACATTCCAGTGAGTCATGATTGACAGTAATTTCCAGTGTGCACGACGAACAGTTCATTTTGGCAATAAAACACACAATTGGATCGCACAATTGACAATTGGAAAGAATTGCAAATGTATTGAAACAGCACACAATTGCGACGGTGTTGTGACAGCACGCAAAACACAAGTCAACACTAATGCAGTTCACAAAATCTTTGTTGAATGTAGTGGTGTGTATTTTTTTTCACTTCATTCGGTCGAAAAATCGGAATTTATTTCGTCGAAAGTAAAATATTTACACAATGATATATATTTCCAATTTGATATTATTAAAATAAGAGTGATAACGTTTTGGTACACAAAAAATTTGAGCAATAAACTAACGAAATCAATAACAAATCGAAAAAATAGTGAGAGCACAAATTAAACACAGACTAGACGCACAGCTGTCAAATATTTACGTTGAAATGTTACAGTGAAAAATGGAAAACAAAAATATAATTGATTTTCTTTATATTTTCAATATTTCTGTTCAATAGCTATTTAACTATAGTTAAATTAAACTATCTATTACTATTAAATTCGGAGACATAATTTTTTTCTCAAAGTAGTTATTTTTTCATGCTAAAAAAATTATTTTACCGGCTTGTCTCAAAACGACATAGTTTAACTTTTGAGGTGAAAAAGTGATAAAAATGCCGATTTTTTTCTGAACGTAATTTTTGAAAGCAATAATTAATTTTTGATTAAAATTTGGATTATTATATATAGATTTGATATTGATCTTTCATAATTTACTTTTAAAAATGCAATTAAAACGATTTTTCAATTTTTAATTTCAATTCGCCCCTCGGTATTCCGACATTTGGTCGTGTGTCGACATTTGGCAATCTACTGTATCAACCGTTAACTTAAAAAAAAAAATCTTTTGGTCCACCCCAATAAAAAATGATGTGAGCAATTCCATAATTAGTTGAATTTCCAAATCAAACTTACTTCGCAATTGGGTGAATCATCTTTGACCATCTTGACAGCAACTTTGGTTTCGTCCTCATCAGATAAGATTCCTTTTGCAATTCCTTCGTAGACATTAAAAGTACCACAAGCAATTATCTTTCCGATTTTAAGCTTTTCTATGGGAAATTCATAGTCTTTTTTATATGGCAAATAATGGGCATTCAGTGTTAAATATGGATTTCCTTGAAGAATTTTTCTTAAACGATGGCTTCTCTTTCGTTCACGTAGAAAATAAATTAGAATTATCACAACAGCAAATCCGAGTAATATTACAGCGGCTGCCAATACTGTAGGAAGAGAAATGTGTAGATTTATTGATTAAGTGAATCTTTATTTAATAAAAATGATTTGAAAGAATAATGATAATCTTTAAACTACGCCAGATATTAAAAATGGTTTGAAAAAAATGTATCAAAATCTGATTCAGGTATAAAGATGCATTAAAACAATCCATACAACCTAAATACTTTTTTGAAAATGCGATCATACATCTCCAAAAATAATTCAACCAAGGGTTTGTGGACAAACTGAGCAATTTTAATCGAAGTCGTAGGATTTGAACTCAAGTTATAGTGACGGTTGCCGGAAAATTCATAAAAATACACCGAAATAATAAAAAAATGGCGTGTGTGCGTGGTATAAACGGGTATAAAACCGAAGACGATTTTAAAGCATGATGATTGATGATACATCAAGCATTTAATGAAACATATAAAAATACAATAACTGAATGAGATGTTCATACATCTTTTTCAAACCATCATTTCAAACCATAATTAATCGATTGCTTCGCATTTTCACTCAAAGCTTTCATTTTTTCTTCATCAAGATATTTTGCCAAATCAACATAACCTGAATAGAATAGAAAGGTTAATTATAATCAATTATTAAAATAGTTTGCACTATTACCATATTGACGAGCCAAATCGGGGGGAATCTTTTCATCTATATCTTTTGTATTAATATTAGCTCCGTGATTGATGAGAAATTCGGCCATATCTTTCCTACCTAGAAGTATCAAACATTGAAAGGAATTCATTTTTGCGAATTGATTTTTTTTTGTATTATTACCATTTTCTGCAGCTACATGGAGTGGCGTTGTTTTATTTATATTTTCTGAATTTACATTTTCCCCTCGTTCGATCAGTATTTTTGCCCAATCCACGCTTCCTGAAAAAAAAGATGTTTAACGTAAATTTCTGCCGTCATCATAGAAATTCATTTACATAAGTGTATTTCACTGCCTATAAAAATGAATTGGACACTTCCTCGTACACACAAGAAACAAATTTTTCTTATAACATCGCAATAATTAACAGATAACCTTGAAATAATAAAACATGTTTTGTTTCAACACAGTGAAGTTGGCTTTGACGTTTGGCGCCCAAATTTATGAGGATTCCTGTTAAAATCAGACATTAAATTGAGATATTTCTATCCAGATGAATCAGCTCAGCCCATAGCTGTCCACGAACGTTCGTTCGTTCGTTCGTAGAATATTTTTTTGGTCTTTTTGTTCGTTCGTTCGTTCGTAGAATTGTATTGCGTTCGTTCGTTCGTTCGTAGAAACTGAAATGTTCGGATTGTTCGTTCGTTGTTCGTACGAACAACGAACAACGAACACGTTCGTTCGTTCGTTATTTATGAAAATTTATTTTCTCAAAATAAACAAATATTGTGATACTAAATGTAAATTGGAAAAACCTTAAATCGATTTTTCCCGCTTTTCCGATGGGAAATTGTGAAAAATAAGCAAAATATTGACTCTCGTACGAAATTTTTTTTTCTCACTTTTTTGTGCATTATACCCAGTCTCCGAGAGTTTCATATAAGGTTGCCATGTAACTGCAGAAAGTCAGTCGAAAATATTGAATTTTTTTTTTTCGTTTTTTCGACCGTCTTTGTGCTGCTACATAACTAGCTTATATGAAACTCTCTCAGACTGGGTATAATGCAAGAAAAAAGTGAAAAAAATGTTTTCGATATTTTTGTGCACTATACCGAGTCTCCGAGAGTTTCATATAAGCTTGCCATATAGCAGCACAAAGACGGTCGAAAAGACGAAAAAAATTTTTTTTTCAATATTTTCGACTGTCTTTCTGCTGCCACATGGCAACCTTATATGAAACTCTCGGAGACTGGGTATAATACACAAAAAAAGTGAATTTTTTTTTTTCTTACGGGAGTCAATTTTGCTTATTTTTACGATTTCTCATCGGAAAAGCGGGAAAAAAAGATTTAAGGTTTTTCCAATTTACATTTAGTATCACAATATTTGTTCATTTTGAGAAAATAAATTTTCATAAATTACGAACGAACAATCCGAACATTTCATTTTCTACGAACGAACGAACGAACGCAATACAATTCTACGAACGAACGAACGAACAAAAAGACCAAAAAATATTCTACGAACGAACGAACGGTTCGTTCGTTAGTGTTCGTGGACAGCTATGGCTCAGCCAGATATACTCAAGAGCTGAAATCAAGTGAAAACAATAAAAATGATTGTTATAGTGATTGAAGAAGCAATATAAGTGTAATTATAGCCATAACAATCACTTCTATTGTTTTCAGTCAATTTGAGCTCCTGAAGATATCTGGCTGAGCCGATACATCTGGCTGAAAATATCTCAATATAATGTCTGGTCAAAATATTGCGATTTTATCTGGAAACCTTACAAATTCATATTTTGATAAGATTCCTTAAATAATTTATCAGGTTTGTTTCATGTGTGTACATTACATAATTCAACTACAAATCTTTGTTGATAGAACAACATTTCTTGAATTTTTTTAAAGATTTAATAAAAATTCATTTCTACTCTTAGAAAATACAGATAACAAAATCATATGTAAATGTCGTTAATTTTTAAAAAATCGTTTAGTTCACAAAATCATAAATATCAAATTCTTCTATCGAATATATTTCTAAACTAAACGAATAATCATCTAGTCTTGAGAAGTTATTATTTTGTGTGTGACAAAATACAGTGATTAGAATTCGAAAAGTCTCATAAATAAATACCATTTTTGGCAGCTTCATGAAGCTCAGTCCATTTATCGTTATCCGCTATTTTTGCATTTACATCTTGTTTAATTGAAATTGTAACACACAAAAATAACAAAACGAACGAAGGCCACATTTCTTCTCACTTCCCTTTGTGAAACAGTTACAAATCAGACACATACATTTAATTAAATGTTTAAATAAACCAGGCGGCCCAATCCACTGTCAAACGTTCAATACCGGTACATACACTACATTCACAACTCTAGTCAATTATAAACAATGTTATTATATACTTGAAGTGACTGTGTAAGTATTCTGTCGTTGAGCGCGTGAATCTTTTTCGATTTTTCATACAATGCTATTTTAACGTATGAAATAATAACTGTTCATTTGAACGCTCTAGAATAAAAACAACGTACATAATGGTTGTTATATCAAAGAGGAACACGGCCTTTTTTTTATATAGAATTTTTGTTGTATTACAAATCTATGTTGAAAAAACGCTGTGTTCCGCTTTGATATAACAACCATTTTATTCTAGAGCGTACATTTTAAGAATGACGAATAGAATATAATCTTTCAAAATAACTGAAGTTAGTCTAATCAATATTTTTGTTTTGTAAAAGATTAAACAAGTTCACAAGGGAATAAGATTATTTTGTGTGTGATAACCAAGATCTTGTCTTGCACACGTAACGTTAAGAACTGATTGTCCAAGAATGAGTGTGAGACTTCTCATACAAAATAAAAAGGAACTTAGATCCGTAAATCGAACTTTTCCACACTGTTTTCAAACTTTCTTTACTTATTGAACATGCACTGGTTGTGTAGTACTGATTCAATAATTGTCAAAGTCTAATTTCTGAGACTCATACTCAGTAAAGTACCCAAAATTATCCTGCTAATACATTTTTGTGAACAGTGTGACTAATACCTATATTAAGATGGCCAAAAAACAATTGTTCTGTGATAACAATGCTTTACTGAACGCAGTGATGCACGGAGAAGTAAAATATCAGTTTTTATACGTGTGCTAGTGTTACATTTACATAAAATATCAGGAGAAGTCTCACACAGCGATTAGACTATGGTTAAGAGCATATTTTTTATATGCGATATTCGAAATATTGTGTCGTACACAAGACGCTTCTCCTTCGTTTACTGATCTATATATGTTGAGCTGTATGAACATGCGCGATAGATGTGTATATGTATCATATTCTTTCTCGCACAATCAATGCTTCGAAAAATTATACAATTACAAAAGATTATACAAACAAGAGCATTAAAATGATCATTTTAGAAAAATATACAGCTACATGTGCCTTGTAAGAAATTTGTTGCTTTCTTCCAGATTTGAATTATATGAATCGTTGCGGCGAAACAGTAGCTCTTATTTTTCTCCAAATAATACTGCAACATGAAGTTTTTTTCACACGGTTTATTTGTTGTAATACAGCAAATAAACTATTCATAAAAAACTTTATGTTGCAGTATTATTTGGAGAAAAATAAGAGCTACTCTTTCGCCGCAACGATTCATATGTAGATTATAATCGTTTCGTGACGTTAAAATTGAAATTAAAATGTTTGTATTTATGGCTGCAGATTTTTTGCTTTTTATTTTCAACTTAAAAAACGGTTTTTTTATTTAAACACCACAACTTTTATGTTAAAAGGAAATATTCTTTTATTATGAAACACTTAAAAATGTATTCTTTATTAGTTTGTATTGTTATATTACATAGATTGTGTGACATATTATGATTTACTAAATCTGTGTTCGTCTTTTAATTGATTTTCTAACTCTTCAAAAGTATTTGCTTTTACTGCTTTCTACTTATGATTCTGCTCCGACCGAAAATAGCTCCCATGAAACGATGCAAGACCGAATAATATATTTCAACTGAAGTCTTCTCTTTTGTTCAAGTAGGTAAGAAATGAGAATTATCACAACAACAATGGTCACAATTGAAATTAAGTCTGTAAGAAAAGAAATGACATTTTTAATGATTACCTTTTTAGAGATTTCCTAAAATTAATTCAACTAAAAATTTGTATGGAGTTACCCTGTAACAATATTTGTTAAAGTGTAGCTTGAGTGCAATCCTTGCAACTGAAACATCAATAATAATATGGCCATAAACATTAAAATGAATAGTGTAACAGATAAAAGCTTTAAAAAGGTTTGAGCATTTAAATTGGGAATACGACGTTACTTTTTGCATTCTCTAGAATCCTCATCTTCATATTAAGTCCATGAAACACGATACATGGTTCTAAGACAGATTGGTTCATCTTTAGACACATGCAGAACTTGTTTTGAACTTAGCTGTCCAAAACCATTTGAGACACTTTTTCGTAAATCCAATTTGTACGCCATCGCGAATGGAAATTTTTGTGGAAATTGTGAAAGTAGAGTAGGATTCCTGTTAAGTCTCCTATGCGCATTGGTTGACATGTTTGATTTATCAGAATTTAGTGCCAAAACTTTCTTAACATATGTAGTATAGAAATCAAATTTGGTTCACAGACTTTTGCACGGTGGACTGTAGTGTATTATACAAATCTGTTTCAAATAATTCCCATTTAAATCATTTTCAACCAAAAACTTCTATTATCTCTCTCTTTAACTCTTTGTTTGTTGAGAATTTAATATTGAAATTCGAATAAAATAGCAACACCGTTAGGCACGGCTTCATTCGAGAAAAATATGTATAAGCATGAAAGTGACCTTAAATTTAAATTAAAGTGACATTCAAATTTTTGTTGTTGTTATACAATGTACATGTACAATAATATAATATGACTCGTTTATAGCTGATCAAAAAACTGTTTAATCTTTAAGACGCATATCTCATAACATGCGCAGGCACGCAATACATGTAGATTTGTTTGAATCAAAATTCAAGACAAATTTTACAATAGTAAAACAACAGTAGTCTCGTATACTCAATTGTAAACGCAAGTAAATTCATAGCCGAAGAAATTTGTACGATTTCAATAATTTTTGAATAATTCTAACTTTTAAATGAAAAAGAATTTTTTTTACAATTTAATTAAATAGTTTGTAGTAAATAATTAATCGAAACATAAATTTTGTGTAACAATGAAAGTTGCTCGTATGGTGTTATTTTAATGTGTCTAAAAGTGCGTGCGACTTATGTTACACAAACAAAGAAACGTTGCGATCTTCGGCGTTGTTAAATTTTTTGCGTTTCTAATTTTCAATTCATTTCACAAAAATAAAACTCTTTTTTAAATAAAGACCACGACTTTTATGGAAAGTGGAAATATTCTTTTATTATTGAAACCTATTTACATGTGATCGATTTGAGGGGACGCAATTTCAGGTAAACTTTTTCTTTCGGTGACAGCAAGGCTTGCTTGGGATGAAAAGTTATAGAATCAACTGAATCAGAGCTAATTAAAAATTCAAAATTGTGAAGGAGAGTCACAAGTGCAGTGTATATTTGCATCAATGCAATACGAGCTCCAATGCAACCTCGTGGACCTTCTCCAAAGGGCAAATATGCCATTGAATGCCTTTTTTTAACTTCTTCGCTATCAAATCGATGAGGATCGAATTTCTCTGGATTTGGATAATATTCTGGGTCGTGATGAATTCCAAATACGGGCACTTTTATCCACGTATTTCGTTCAATAACTTGATCGGTTCCAGCAACGCAATAGTCATTTTTGGCTATTCTGTTCACCGTGGCCGATATGGGATATTTTCGAAGCGTCTCTGTGAAGAAATAGGCAGAGATATGAGATTGTATTTTTATGATTAAAAAAAACAACAAAATTGATTAAAAACTTGCAACAACAAAAAAAACCGTTGCTTTAACCTACCTTGAACAATTTGGTGAATATATGGAAGATCCATCATCATTTCGTATGTGAATTGATTATCATATTTCTCATAAGCTATGCGAATAACATTTCGTGCGTTATTTTGTACATCCAGATTTTTCGCCAGTTCATATAAACAATTGGTTAATGTCGTTGAGGATGTTTCAAATCCAGCTTGAAAGAAAACGTTTGTTTGTGCAGCGATTTCATTGAATGTTAAGGCCTCATTGTTGTTCGTGTTTTTTTTATTTTTAAAATCTAACATGATGTCCATGAAATCATTGCGTTGAATTTCATTTTTTTCACGATATTCAACCGTTTCTTGAATGGCATGCATAAAGAAGGCGGCTACATCATCTCGAATGCTTTTTATTCCCAGTATATTTGCAATTCTTTTATATGAAGTAATTAAAGCTAAAAATCGTGGACTGTGTCGTTGTTCTTTTATCGCCAAACGACCCATTGTTATGAATTCGGCATTTCGATTGTTCAAGCTATTGCATTTATTTTTTTTTTTTTATTTATTTATTCACCGTCTGATCACAGACTGTATTTATCACAACATTTTGTACAATACCATTCAATACCAAATGCACAATTACCAATAACATCCGAAGTGTATCGCATCATAAAATCAATGATATCTACACTTTTGTTGGAAATTGTAATCTTTTCATTTAAAACATCACATAAACGATCAGCAATTCGGGTCACAGTCGGAAACATAAACTGAGAATGTTAGAAATGAGATCAAATTAACTACTTCTTCTATAAAGCAAATGCTTTAAAGCATTACCTTTAATTTCCCGGAAGAAAAGGCTGGTGTCAATTTACTTCTCAATCTTTTCCACTCGTCTCCATCCATAGTGGTCAGATTTGCACTCAGTGGGTCGTATTTTCGATTTGAATACAATCCTCTGTCCGTAAAGTTCGCAAAATCTTTGATTAAAATATCTTTTGCTAAATCAAGGTCCAATATAATTGCAATTGGACGCGTATAGAAATATATACCAGTGTTGAGATTTTATAAACAACCGTATACAATACAATTGTATATACGGAAGGGTTGTATATACATGTCTATAGGCAGTGTCCAAAAACAACAACAATGCTGTGCGTACCTATGGAATCATTGTTTCTCATTCTTCCATTCTCTCATTCGCAAAACAACGACTCCTTAGGTACACTGAAACGTGTGTTGTAAAGTAAGACATTGTATATTGTCATTGCCTACAGTTGTATATACAATCGCTCTTATTTTGTGCAGTATAGACAACATCACTGATATATACCAAAATATTTGACACCAGTGCATTTGAATTTATCGTAAAGACTTTTAATCATATAAACCACATGAAATTTTTCACCAACACCTTCCAAATTTCCATACGGAATTTTCGGCTCTATATGTGGCACGTTTCTTTTTTTCCAATAATTGAATGCATTTCGTTGACGATAGGAGGCGTACCAAATTGAAGTAACTATTATTAAAACCACAATGATCAACACATTTACTAAATCCATTTCAAACATTTTATGTTTCCAGTTTGAACGTCTTTTCTTCTAAATTGAGAAGTTTGTCACAATCAAAGTATACAAATTAGAAAAATGGACAAGTTATTAAAGGTAAAACACACAAAAATGTTCGTCTCCCAAAAAGGTTTCCACCAGAACCGTGCAGCTAATACTGATTTAATGCATTCGAATGCCAAGATATTATAAAATTGTCTTTTTATTATCTCAGTTTGTAATCGACCTTGCAATGATATTGATGTCTAGCTAGTAGCCATTATCAATTCAGTTCCAAAAACAGATGAGATTAAAAATAAAGAGGCAATAAATGTGTTCTTTGTACGTGGAATTAAACTGTTTTGTTTTTCGAGTTCTGTTGGCTTTTTTTAGTCAAAAAATTAACTTATGATTGTTAAGAGAGGTATTTCTATAAACTTTTGTAGACATCATACATGCATATAAATAGACGAATGTACAACTAATTCAATTTTGATCAAGAATAAATGTTCAACATAAAAAGTAAACATTCAATTGTTATCGGACTTTTTTTGGTAATCAAAAATATAAAAATGCCGATAATTTTATTCAAACCGTAAACAACAAACTCAAAATAATTCATTTTCATCATACGAAACTTTTACACATTCGATATACATCCTGACAAACTATATGAGCAAGAAAACAATTGTAATCTTATGCAATTTTATTGGATGCCATGAATTAATCAAGTCTAAGGAAAATGAAAGGAAACCAGCTACTCTTTAATAAAATCCACTTTTAAAAATGCCACGCGTTTTTCCCCTAAATAATTCCCCAGCAATTTGGCCACATTGACAATGTGCTTAGACAACCTTCAGAACGTCACTCATATAAAAAGAGGAGAAATATACACAAATAATAGCTTCGATAAGCGGTTTTGTTACGCTCAATTCTATTTTTCGAAACAATCTTTTCATCAATTTATTTGATGCAATGGAAATGGCATTGAAAACCCCAAATGAAAATGATTCACTTCATCTATAATAGATCCAAGAAATCAAGCAAAACCGAATGGTTTTAAAAGTTTTTGTCTTTTCTTGCTATGCATAACTCCCGGCTAAGTGTTCAAAGTGAAGTTTCTGAGTGGGCAAGAATATATTCCACACAAATGATTTATGTATGCAGTGAAAATTCAGTTTCACAGAACCACAAAACTTATTAAGTGGCAAGTGTTTCAACTGTAAAATGCAGAGATGGTGGTGAACAAGCATTCTCTCTACCGATAAAGTTGTACGAATTTAACGCTCGATGGAGAAAGATAGCGAGAAACAGTGAATGAAAGAAAGAGATAAAGAGAACGAAGAGGCAACAAATCAAGCCGTATCCATAAATAATAAAATGTACATTTGGATTACGTCATGTATGTGTGTGCTCAGTTGGACAGCTGTTTCAAGCGATAACAGTTGCAGTAAGCAAAAGTTCTTCCACATACACAACAATCTTGAGCATAAAAAATTTCAAGTGGAAAACATGTTTGGTATTCTTTCAGACACACATTTAAAAAAAAGCCTGACAAAACATTTTCAACTCAGCCGTAGTTTTTGGACCAAATGCACGGAAGCAAAGTGAAAAGTTTTTTTTTCGCAATTTTATTTTTTCTTTTTTTTTGCCACATGTACTTTTCAATCTGAAGTATTGTAATAAACAAAGCCACCATCAGTGTTGTATTGTGAACTTTTCAACATTATCCGGTTGGCCTCTGGTTGATTGTGAATCTTCTTGACAAAAAGCTGACACCGGATGTAATTTCTTATCAAATTGTATATGATGACACTGAATACGAGTGATGGGTTCAAATGCGCAAGTGGTGATAAAAATACAAATTTGGGCACAATTCAAATACTGAAACGAAACATAGACGTTCGTATAATTTAATTTCACCCATGTTTAGCGAAAAAGAAAACTTAATTTTTGTTGAAATTTGATGAAACTTTTAATCGCAAACGTACCTGTACAACGTTCATTTGATTCAACTTATATTAAAAGCTTGTGAAATGAATTTCATAAAATTGGCTATGATTTTCTATAAAAAAAGTTTTTAAATCGTTTCCAACAAATTTTCATTACATTTTTTTTTTCATATTCTTTGGAACATTGAAAACAACGCAGTGTTGGTGACAAAAATCCCTCCCGGTTATTTTCGAAATGATGTCCATTATGTAGAGATTAAGAGTAAAACTAATAACTTTTGTATTTTATGCACACTGCGTTAACGTTATAATTACGTTCATCAGATTTTCATCGTGTTGAATAATTCACCGTGCCATTACCACTTCCGAAAATGAAATTCGAAAAATAGATACGCAGACCGTGTCGCGCATTTTGAATGGAATGCAAACTGTTCTCAATCTACACGATGCTTGTGGTCTAATGTTTCGAAATTAATTCGTAGCGGCGAAAATATATTCACATTGGAAATTGATGACGCAATTTATTTTTACTTTTCGACATTGTAATTGTCGACGTCATCGCCATTAAAATGATCCACAATTTTCGACTGTATGAACCGTAGCCAGCAATTTATACGCTCAATGGTTTTTTGTTTCTCACAGAATGGTGCGGCTTTAAATCATTTATCATGTAATTTCGAAGTATATGCTGTACAGCATCGAATACATATGTCTGCATGTACGAAGCACTCAATTTAACTCTCGAAGGGAACAACAATATTCCATCGACTATGTGTATTAACAGCCATCGTTCACATTTTTGGCTATTTTCGCATTCGGAAGACAACCGAAAATTAAATAAAAATCCCATAAGCTTTACATACATCTAATGACAATATTCAATTTTATCAACATTCTGCATTGAAAGAAGTAAGTCTTTGGAATTGTAAGAAGAGCCGAAAAAGATATATAAACAACAAGATATCGTATGCGCTTTAGGGTGTGTGTATGTAAACCCTTTGTAATTAATTTGCAAAAATGAAACTATGTGGCAGAGTGTTTTTGAATGATGCCATAGAGATCTTTGTATTTTCTCCTAAAAGCCATATGAAATGGATGGTTCCTTGCAGCGTGTCATACCGTGGAATTGGAAATTCAAAATGTTACCAAGACTTATGCGATATCAATATAGGCATGGCCCGGTTTGGGTATTTTATATTACCAAAATATATCACACATTCCGCGTACTTTTATCATTGAACTTAGGTTATATCATTTGCCTGCGTTTCAGTTCAAAGATGCAAATAGACGTAATATAGTAAGGATACACAAAATTTAATTCTGTGCACGAATGAGAAGAGCTACCGAAAAAATCGACCGCACCAAATACACACATATAAATGAACGAACGCGACACGAATAAAAATAAACGATAAAAAGATGAAGAACATGTAAAAATGATGAAAATCAAAATGTTAAGGAATATGCCAAAGTCCCGACGAAAACACACGGACATTACGACGAATATATGAATATATATTATGCTATAAAATGTGGAGCAACCATTTTTAGGATATTTTTTGATGCAGCGCGCTTATCCCATCATGAGCCGATTACAAGTTGCGGCCACCATGTATTGTAGTATGTACATTGTACATGTGATTGTTCGATTGACATTTGTGAATCATCTATACATTTTTCTATAATAAAAGGCCACATTACCACAAATATTTCATGATTTTTTTCGCTTTGCAATAATAAATTTGAACGACCAGATAGATGCAACGTTCATTCACTGGAAAATGGGCACCAATAGACGGCTTAGGCTTTTCTCATTGCCACCAAAATAAAAGCATTATAAATGGAATGTCACGCTCGCCCACGAAAGAAAAATGATAATTGCATAATGTCTATATATAGTTGAAGACTTAATATGATTGAAGCTTCTAGACGATACGAATTATTTGAATAGATTAACGCATTCAAAATCGCATTCATACGAACTAATCTCGAGACAAAAGTCTGTGCGCAATAAATGGAAGAGTCTCTACTGTTGCAAAATATGCGATGAAACCATAAGTTGGCGATGAGTCTACCATTTTCTTCATCTAATTGGCAACATATTGACTTTCATACACCAAATTTTCACACTTAATGGTTAAAGTTGGTGACGCGTCGCTTGTAAACCATATACATTCACACGCAGACAATTACCGTATTTAATGAAAATAATAAGGGAAAAGAAAATCAAAGCTACAAATTGAACTGTTCATTCATTTATACAGGGAAATGAAGAGAAAAGAGAAAAAAAAATCGGCATAGACGAATCATGTAACAGTTGTTAAAATATGCGCAATCATGAGATTTAAAAATGAAAGAAGAAGGAGTGGAAAAAAATGATTGTTGGTCCCTATAAAATTGTGTGTGTTCATCGGCAAACAATGTACTTTGTTCGCGTAAATGCAAATGTGTTCCCATGCAATAATGTTGCCGGCGGCGGTAAGTTCGTTTTTCAATGAGAATGAAAAATAGCTGTTAATAAAAGTTTTGACTTGTATCACAAAAATGCTGCCGATTTTGCAAAGCGAACAAATGTCGTTAAATGTCTGTACATGACTACACCACTGAAACGCAACGCGCACATTTCCATCGCACGCTGCTTCTCCAAGTTCCTTACAATATTCACACTTCCAATGGAGCGGCGCCTGTGTGAATAATATTCCAATATTTCCAATCGAAACGTGGATAGCGTGCTCAGTGCACACGCTCTTTCTCTCTCTTGACTTTTGCAATACTTGCGAATTTGTACTCTATCCCACTCTCAAACAGCCGAATGAGTGAGAATGAGAGAACAAACAGCGAACGCTTCGCCATGCATACGCCGCATATTTGCCAACTGTGTATTTTAAAACACTTGCAAATTGCCTTCGTTCTTTCTCTTTCACACGAAATTATTTGTGTGTTTGGACGAACGAACAATGAAAATGTCTTTTCCATTCATCTCTGAATGACTTCAGTTGAGATTTGAAGTTCCCGGCGAACGCAACTCCGAGTGCATGTTTTCCGTAATAACAAAAAGTATTTTTTTTTTATAGAAGTGGTGATTTAATGGGAAAAAATCGAATCAAATGATAGAAAGTGAAAATTTGGTGTAGAAAAAAAAATGTGAGTGAAGCGTAAATAATACAGTGAAAAAGAATTTTTTTCCATGAAATTATCTTCGCACGAAATCGTCAAGAAAATAAAACGAAAAAAAAAATCGCGCATTCGTCTTTGAAAATTGGTTTCTAGGCAACAATAAATTTCGATTTCTCTCTCGCGCGGTAAAATTGCCTATTTGCGTCGTAAAATACAATTTCTTGGAAGCAATTTATCGAATTTAACTGTCACAAAATCATTTTTTGTTATTGTTGTTGCTGTCGTTTGGACAAATAAAACAGGAGGCGTTTCACTTGTATTTCGCGTATTTTTTATGAATTTTATTGCGTTCTCAACATTTCCGACCGAATATTTTGAATGTTTTACGGAAATTCGATATATGTATGAACGTGCCCGGTGCGAACAGTGCGAAGGCGGTGTGTTGACGAGTGGATTTTCTTGTATTGTGCGTGAGCAAATAGTTGGGAGAGAAAAATCGCAAACCAAAATATACTTATCAAATGTTGAAGATTTTCCTATCTATTTTGACATTCATAAATGATTTGATTTGTGTATTTGTACCTATCCATGATTTTGATTTTTCCCTTTGATTCGGTATTATGTTTCGTCGGATTTTATGTGCGCGCAACGAAAAAGAAGCAAACGTGAAGTAACATAATGGAATGAATTTGTCGAAGAAATAGAAATGTGCTATCCATCAAGTCGTTGGTGTAAATGGGAATGAGTACAACGAACCATTTTCCGTGTGGTTCATGGCACCAAACCAAATTGTTATTCTTATGTAGATCGATGTTTATGTGCTCGTTTCCATCAAGTTTGCACATCATACAAATAATGTTAGCAAAACAAATTAATTACCAAAAAATTCGATTTCGAACACACTCTTACTAATCCCTCCACATACACACCCGAACGAAATAAAAACGGGAAATCGCATTTCGACTATAATCAGATACTATCAGTATTGCTCTTATGTATTAAGTAAATGGTCTTGGTGTTTCTTGCGTCGTTCTAATAAAACACCGCCACCGAATGACCAAATGACGTAAACACATTTCGATTTTGGACGTCGAACGAAAGAAAGCGACCCGAATTGAAATTAAAATTGATTAAGCTTTGTATGTATATGTGGTTATTGTTATGTACATAAAATATGTGGTTGTTGGTCCTGAACACGCTAGTAATAGGCAAATATCAACCATACGGATGGCGTTGTGCTTGAGAATGGCATATATTTCATTGACTGTTTTTGTTATTCTTGTGGGAGTGTGTGTACTGTGTATGCAAAGAGAGCTCATAGCAAAATCTCAAACGAAAAGCTCATAATCTACATGTATAATACGAGAGAGAAAAAAATCAAGGGACAACCATTTCTAATCATATCTTCGCATTTATTTTCGATTACAATAATCATTGACGTGTAAATAAAAGCTGCTTTTGTTTTCGCATCGATTTTTTTACGCTTTTTTGCGGCTGTATTACACATACAAAAACAAACGAGCGCTAGCGCACACATACCAAAACATGTTCTTTTGATGGCAAACGAAAAAGGAAACCATGACAATTTTTACGACTGTTTATGTCAGAACACGAGATCACAGGCGATTCATTCTAATGGATTCAATTCCATTCGATTTATTTCTTCGGCAGAAAACTGTTTGTGAATACGAAAAAGATTTTCTGAATATATATTGAGATATTTACTGGCCAATATATGCGTACCGCCACCACACACACAGCAAACGAAAGTCGTTGAGCAAAAAAAAAACAACCATTTACGTTTTGATACAACGAAGCGAATAAACAACCCGTGCCATTGGATCTGCCAAACACTTTTCTTTAAAAAAAAAATTCGAGAGAAGGGAGAAAAAAAGGTTGAATAGAACCGTTGATATGCTGTCTGTTTGTTTCGGTACGAGATATGATCCAACAAACGACGCCAGAGAAATAAATGCAAATGAATTCTTCATATAAGATTATTACGATTCGGCATCGGTGAACGGCAACCGTCCACCAACCACATTGCGCCCATCTATTTTCTCAAAACGAACAAACAAAAAATCGACACACAGCTCCAATGTTATCTTTCTTTTTAACTTTATCGTTGTTGGTTGTGGTTGGAATTTTCTGCTTTTTTTTCTTCTTTACATTTCGGTTCAAAAAGAAAGCTGCTTGTTTTTCTCTATCGCAAAATTGCCCAGTTGCCGTGAATAAATAGGATGGTATTTGCTATGCCAATTTATTTACCATGCAAACCGAAGTAAATGATGGAAATATTGCCTGTTGGCTCACTTTCTGGCCAAACGAATGCTGTCGTCAAAATATCAGAGCGCTAGTACACCTATTAATTTTCATGAAAAGTGTCCGTAAACTCATTTTTCCTTAATACTAAAGCTTCGAGCCAACCACTTCATCTTCTATCGTTAGATGCCTTCACGGAAATATGTCTGCATACATTCGAAAGTGAGAAGGAATACCAAAAAGGAGAAAATAAGAGAGAAAAAGATATTGTGAGTCTTTAACTTCAATCCTGTACAGTTGTATTGCCTCGCGGATATTTTATTCGCATTAATTATGCGCAATACACTGCAAAACATTGATGTAAAAGTGGTCGCTGTTGTGTGTGTATATATAGTGTGTTGTCAATCGCATCAAATAGAGCGCCTTAATCAGCATATCAATTTGCTGTTAGCAAATTTTCCAGATGTAGAAAAAAACTTCAAATAAAATCTATAGAAACATTCAACTGGAAATCTTTAAGTTTAATGCCGCAAATTACAAGTCCTCTATTGCTTAGAAAACTTCAAAAAATGCTCACTTGGCAGCTGCGCTCCAATCTCGACTATTGTTCTTTTTCATTTTCTCACTCTACTTTTTCCGTTCTCTTTGTATCTCTCTTATTTTCTTCTTTCGTCTCTCGTCTTACTCCATCTCATTTCATTCCGACGCTTGCTGCTGCCCATTTTCATGAGCGCGTGTAATTTTCGACAAGCTGTACAAAACTTTATCCGCATTTAGTATGTCAAGTATCACCACTTCGGTGCGTTTCTCATTAACATTTGAGAATGATAATAGTTGGGAATTCACTTCTTTTGCGGGCGCAAAGTGTGAAAAATAAATTTCACATTGAACAAGCACGATAAAGTGACTACACTCGAAAAAATAAAGTTCCTGATTAGATAAGCGTATGTGTGTAGTGTATCTTCATGCGTGAATTTAATCGTCCTTTTGTCATTCGTTTTTTTTATTCTTTAACACACTTTGCCTTCGTTACCAAACTCTGTCATGTTATTTCCTTCATCGTCAAGGATGATAGGCGAACAACCAATATTTGACAGACTACGAAGAGTGTGTGTATGCGTGTGTAAGAAAGGAAGTGTTTGTTTTGTATCAAATCTTATCATACAATGATTTTTGGATAGAATAGATCCGTAAGATCTCCGCAAGATCCGGATCCAAGCGTGCGTACGTAGCCGCATGATACATACATTCCTTACTCCGTAATGCTATGGCATGCGAATCAAAGAAGGGGAAATAAGAATAACGAATTTGCGTGCGTATTATATATGTATGCATCATGCGGCAGCGTACGCACGCTTGGATCTGGATCTTGCGGAGATCTTACGCATCTATCCTATCTAAAAATCATTGTATGAATCTTATATGTATTTAAGTCGATTATGTTCTACACATGTTCCCATCATTTTTCATGGCTGTCGTCATATTGGTTGTTGAATGTCTGTACTATGCTTCTCAATTTAGTATACATTTTGTGGTTGCTTAAATTTGTGATTTCTTTATCAGCCATCACTCTCAAGTACCGTACAGTAGATAACAGGCAGTTTAGTTTTTGTTGACAACTTCCTCCCTTACACAGTAATCTTACTTTTAAAATCTCATCAGATTCAAGTTTTCATCTTGCAACAACAAAATATGTATGCCATGGCACTCAATGTATGAAGCGAGGAAAAAAACCTCCAATGGATACCATTTAAAATGCATTAAGCAACAAGACGGTTTGGCCGTGACAGATAGCTAAGTATTAGTCGAAATGTACACAACAAAATGTGTAATGAAATGACTCGTTTGGGGATTTTGAAGTAGTAAGTAATTTTGTGTATATCAAAATTCGAAGTTTCGGAACTAACTGCCTGAAGGTTACTTTTTAATAGAATGTACATTTAGAGTGTGCATGTTAGAACAGCTTTAATCGAATTTTATTAAAATTGCAAAATGCTAATATTGGCGACGCGGGCATCGAGCCAAATGCTTCTGTCATTCATTTGAACAAAGTGGGCTGGATGTTCGACAATAAAATATGGAAACTTCATTATTATAATATTTTGTTACATAGTAAATACATTCTCATGCACAATAAAATGTTCTTGATGATGGGAAATATCATGTTCAGGCGTTACCACTTGATTTTTGGCTTTGCTAAACTACAACTCTCTTTCTCTTCAGTTCTGTTAGTAATTTATGCAGAAAACAATGGAATTGCATGTCCAATTTTCAACTCTGCATATGACAACTTTAAATTAATAAACAACAATTACTATCGTCACTCTGTGGATTACTCACAATGATGGCGACGGTAGCATGAGCGTGGTACGGTGAATTTTCATTGGCATTGTGAAAATACATTTATTTTATGTATGCATTTGCATTCACAATTTTCGTTTTGTAAAAGCCAAAGCCCACACACTTACTATTTGCCACAATAAACACATTTAGACAGACATTCAGAGAGAGAGAGAGAGAGAGAGAGAGAGAGATTACGTGAATTCTGTTAATTTTCCACATGAATACATGTAAAAGATTTTGTGTTTTGATGGTCATTGAAAATGTGCAATTTATTTTTGCCTAACTGGCGCTCAAAGAGAGAGAGAGAGAGAGAGAGAGAGAGAGAGAGAGAGAGAGAGAGAGTCAGAGAGAGAGTTTTTACACAATACATTTATGATCGATACCATTTTGTTGTTTAACAATTTATATTTCCACAGAATCAGGTGGAAATGTGTGGTTTGTAACCAAGACAAATGCAGAGAGAAAACCAAGCCAAGATTGACAAAGAGAGCAAGCGTGAGAGAAAGAGATAGAGAAAAGTTATAAAAAAGGAAAAAAAAAGACTACCGTAAGAGGAAGTGAATGTGAAATAGATGTTTTATACGTAACAAAATTACAGCATTTAAAGTATCTGTCTACGTGCAACGTAGGAATTTAAGGGCTTAAAACTTTTACCAATGTAACTACGTGCAATCCCAAACATCCGACAACTAAATGTTGCATATAGTGTAATCAGCACCGCTGTAACCAATTTCCATTTATTTTTCATGTGAAACATTTCTCGCGCGTCTCCTTATCGCACCAACACAATAGATTGAATACAACGATGGTTCATTGGTGATGCATTTTAAATGACACCCTCCGACAAATGGCTCAAGGTAAAATTGATATTTGGCTTATTAGTGTCCAATTACAACAACATAAGCTGACTCTTGAAAACTTTATTTTTGACTCGAAGAATTGAGAAGTTACATTCGTTATTTATACAGATACTTCGACTAATGCGCTTTTCAATTGCGTGCAAAAGAAACGAAAATTCATTCCATTGAGAAGAACGCCAACGAATCATTAAAATTACTTAATCATCTCGGAATGTTTCGCATCTTTTTTTCTTCTTTCACTTTCGTTTTCTCTTACAAAGTGAATAAGAAAGTGAGTGCGAGAAGACTTTGTGTTTCCCTAACTTTTCGATTCGTTTAGTTTGCGAATCTGATTAAATGTTGTTAAAAACTTGAGATAATTTGTAAAGATCTTTTATGGGAAAGTTTGTCTAATGCGATGAAATCATAAAATGGAAAATAACACAAGCACATAAAGCAGTGCACAAGCAAACGAGACGAAAACGACGAAATGAAAATATAGAAGAAGGAGAAGAACATCAACCGATGATGTTGTACTCTGTGGAGAATCTTGTTGAAAGCTCAAATCTGATTAACAAAAAAATTTCAATTTTCAACAGAATGTACGAAATAAAGCCAATTATCTGATTTTCATGCTTTTTCTACATCCGTTCGTTCATCTCATTCAATCGATGCGCATTCACATGCTCTCCCATTCGAAAACTATGCGATCGAGCTTGACAACCAAATCGTATACCTATCTTCTGTCCCCGTGCCCAGTTGTGCTGTTGTTGTTGTTGTCATGCTGTGTGCATTTGTGTATCTATATAAATGTGTATGTGTGTCAGCATTAATCACCAAGAGCTTTTACAGAAATAATCAAACAAATGATTATGCAGCGGGTGTAAGTGTGTTCGAAACGCAAATGGTACAAACAAATTCATTCTGTCAAAGTTTTAAATACAAACCAAACTTCGATAAAATCAAATTATCTGTAACAATATGCTGAAGCGATGTGAATCGAGTGAGAAGAACACTGGGGTTGGTGAGCGGGAGAGAGAATCCCCAATAGATTGTAATATTCTACGTTCGCTTCCGATGAAACGAAGTGAGCAAAATAATATACGTGTGGTATAGCATACGCAAATAAAATGGCATGTATGGTGGCAGCTGCACTCGTTCAATCGATAAAACATGAAAAACGATTATCATTAGAGTGTCGATTGTGTTCGATGTCTGAGTGAGAGAGTGTCAACAGAAACAGGCTGACTAAGAATATCAAAATCGAAGGAATAATGCCTCTCGTCTTTCGGTATGCACAACGGGGGCAATATTCAAGCCGCCTTTCGTACAAAACTGAAATGATGCATTAGCCAAAACGCACAAAATCCATATGATGCTTTACATAGAGACAAGCGAGTGCTTCTCTTCATTTCAATGACACCCAACATCTTCTTTATCTTTCAATTCTACTTGTCGTATCCGCAAATAGCACATCACATCGAATATATTATGCGAAAGCTTTTATGCGCTCCAATACTTGAAGTATTCGATTTCGAACGAGGCGATTCGAAATGAAGGCATTACATCAGGCTTCGGCTCAACACACCATAAACAGTGAATGTGCGTTCTGTGAGGCGAATTATTGAGATAAAATTTCGATAAAATTAAATTAACAATTTATTTCAAGAGTATGAGGCTCGAGATTGTACACTCATTGGTAACCATTGAGTTTTCGTTAAACCATAGATCAAGCCAAAATGCACTTAATAAAATGTTAAGCAACATAAAAGTGGGAAAAAGGGATCGACGAGCTGCGATACGTGTTGAAGTTGCTTCCTTTTACTTTCTTCCCCTCTCTCTCTCTCACACGCACACACATACACACACTTTCCATCGTTCGCCTTGGACGTTATATATTGATGAAATTTTCTGTGCAGAACTGCTCCTAGTGTCATAAATCAGATACCGAGCCATTACATGTGTACCCTCTTTGAGAACAGAAATGAATATACAAAAACAAAAAATACAACAATGCCAACATCATGGTGAAGTACATAAACGCACATCTCACACACTTGCTTGCACGCGTATATGCTTAAATTCAAAAGATACTAGCAACACACTCTGCAATGAAGCGTCTCCTATTTATTAGTGATTATTGTTTTTTTTTGCAGAGTTTTATGTGAAGCGATAAAATACGAAGTTGATTCAAACGAGAAAAAATAAGAGAGAAAAGAGCAAAGTAAAATTATTCAAAAAGACACCAAATACAACATTCGACGAGGCTAAGACTATAAGCGTTAGCGAACACACACCGGAAAAAAATTGCGAGCATTTTTCTTTTTCTTCCTTGTAAAAACAACGCACCAGTTCACAGTTCGACGGGAAATAGACAAAGCCAAGGCACACAACACACAGAAAAACGAAGAAAAGAAAACAGAGAATTCACTTGCGTCAGCATAACAATCACCATCAAGTGCAGCAAAACGAGAACAACTATTTATAGAGCAATATCACACGAAGAATCAGCTTAATAGAAACTTATGTTGGGATTTATGTCTGGACAACTACTTGGCACACTACAAGTGCCGCTCTTTTGGATATTCAAGTAAAACGGTAAGTTTCATACCTAATATTAAAAAGAGATGAAGACGAAGAAGAATAGTTGAGAGAAAAACACATTTTATATTTGAGTTGTTCATTACATTTATTAAGTGAACACTTCAAATCTCTTCAGACACTTTCAAATTATCATGTACTGCTTTTTTTTTCGCGTGCTCACACAACGTTGAATGATGAGACATTCTTTTATGATGTTCATTTCGGATGGAATAATTTTTTCGGATTTTGTTTTGTAATATTTTTTTATGCGTTTTCACATTAAACAAACGAATGAAATTTGCATGCATTTTCACTGTTTTGCACTTAAATTTTTACACTCAATTCATTCGAGGTACATTTTTGATAATTCGAAACCCAATTTATGTCTCGGTTTATTCTCGTGTTAAATTTAGTAAATAATACTCATTTTACACGAGACAGAACCAAATTATCTGCGAAGATTCTTTTATTTCAATCTTTGGATCGATGAGAATGTCACACAGAATGGACATTGAAAATACACATACTTTTTTTTTACTTATTGAATAGCAACCATCATGTAAAAATGCTCTGCGCCATCATTGAACTGAAGTCTCAAAAATTCGAATGCATATATTATACGTTTTTTTTGGTATCCACTCATCTCTCTGAAATGATTTATATCTGCTTCGTATTCTAATTTTTTTTTCTCGTCTTGGTTTCATGGTGAAAAATTGGAATGCGTCCGCTCGGCAAGTTGAAATTGTGAGAAATTCATCAAGAAAAGTACACAATCATTGAAGCATAACGCAAAATACGAAAAAATTTCATGAGTGGATGATGGTTGGTGGTTGTGCTGCTGTTGCTGTTGTTGTTGTCGTCGTCTTTACACACTCCGATAGCATTATTAATCTCACGGTTGGTCCTCTTCAGCTGCTATTGCCGTTAATGTTGTTGTTATTGCTTTTTTCCCCGTACATTTGAGACTGCTTTAATCTCATGCATTTGATTTACCTCTCCATTTTATCACGAGGGAATGAATGCAAAAGGCGCGTAGAAGAATATTGCCGATACCAAAAGAACCAGCACATGAAAAAGAGAAAAAGAGACGGTTTAACATTCAGTAAATTTTTTGTGCGATGATAAACGAACAATGTAGCATCCCGGTGCGCTTAGAAAGCCAAGTTTTTTGTTCTCAATAGCAGACAACATATACGCTTCGTTCCGTTCGACTTTCCATTTTAATATGATAACTGCCAGACATTATAGCAGCGCCCATTCAAAGAATTTAAACGACACACGGCATTCGCACACATTCACACAAAGATAGAGATAGAGAGAGAAAGAGATAGAGAGAGAGAGAGAGAGAGAGAGAGAGAGAGAGGGAAGGAATGAAAGCGCACAATACTTATTTCAACACACCATTTTCCCATGCAAATATATAGTATATGAATCGATTAATAAGCCCATAAGCTGGGGGGGAGAAGTTCGCGTTACCGTTCTACAATTTATTTTCATTTGATATTTTCCACCTTTTTGCCAGTGTTTGCCTGTGCGTTTGCTTTTATCGATCCACAGTTTTAGTCTCACTCTCCTTCTCTATTCACTTTGTCCTGTTCTCATTTTCTCTTTCTCTTTTGAAACACAAACACACACACACACCAGTTCCTTTCCATTTCATCAGTTTTCAGCAATTCAATAAACAGCGTAACCGTGTATCCATGGATAAGCTTTTTAATGCGCTGAACAATCAAGCAGGAGAGAAAACAGTTTAAAAGTTTTGTGTGTGGAACATGCGTGCAAAACCATACTCGCTTCTGATAAAGTAAATTAAAAGCCAAGAGAAAAGGCGTTAGATAGAGTATCTAGAAATCATGAAATTGAACCATTGAAAGGTTGATATCGAATCAAATTATAAACGCATACAATCACTGGTTTTCATTTTGTTTAACATTGAAAGCGATCCATTGTGTCACACATTTTTGGCTAATTATTATTATTCAACTTAAATGACGCACGGACGCGTGTTGCGCACACAAAAGCAGTTCCATCGTATAATTATTCTTAATAATTAAGAATGTTTGTACAGTAAATACAAAACACAAACGAACACACAATGCCAAAATATCCATTCAAAGCCTATGCATTTGATGAAAGAAGTTATAAGCACTGTATACACACGGCAACCACTCGCGCCAGAGATGTTCAAACGAATATTTACTTATTTGTATAGAGATGATAAACGGTCGTACGTTTGCAGTGCAAACGAGAAGCTGCACATACTCTCTCGCACAAACATTTACTAATCACTTGAAAAATGTTATTCTCTAGGCCTTAGTCTTAAATGTGCTTTGATTGGTGTTCGGATTTTAAAGAGACCACTTCTTGGGTTTATTTAATGGCCACCCATCGATTCGAGTGGAAAAGTTAGTTTTCAATTATCGTCTTAATTCATACGGAATGCTATTTATTAAAACACACAAGAACCCTTGTGACAAAATTGTTTCAATATATTTTCATCGTACGTATATATTTCTTCATTAAAGCTGTTCGCTATGCCGGGAAACACATAAAAGAAAATGAAATATAAAAAAAATAATAAAAATACCGTTGCCTAGATTCAAAATCCGATTATCATGTTGCGATGTTACGTAAAAATTATTTTACCTTGTTTGCATTTCATCAAACATGTATGTGTCCCTGTATGTATAAATTTGTCAACAAAACATAAATTGAACGTATCCCATACTGCATTTCCAATATGAAAACAGCTCAAAGAAAATAAAAATGAGTTCATGTTACGTACGCAAACAACAATCGTCGCAATGATTTTATGTTGTCAAACTGTTTAGTTTCGTAAAAACTACTCGACTCAAGCGGTGATAGCGTTGAATTCGAAACCGTGCAGCAGGCATGTGTGAGATTTGGGTATCGTGTGTTTGTCATAAAATGAATTCATTAGCTTTTTATAGTTCCCTTTTGTCACTCTAACAATTCGAACCTCGAGGCGACAAAAAGTAATTAGGTCGAGAATCAAATTATGTAGAATCTCATTACGAAAAACGACTAAAAGAGAGACAGAGGCCAGAAAAGGGGGTTCATATAGAGAAAAGGAGCAAAAGAGAGCAAAAGTCAAACAACTTTCCTGTTATAATTTGCCATTCGTTTGTTGTCCGATATGAAAAATGGCGCATTTTTTGTGTAGAATCATTGAACCTATGCTCTCTCTCATTTGGCATACAGTTTTCTCTCACACTCTCACGTTCAACAAACACATACATAGATCCATGCATGCATACATTCATAGGCGTGTAAAAAATGGGTATATGAATCATTTATATGACATTTTCTGGGTGGCAGATGAGATATGAAATATGTTTTAGTCACAAATTCACAAATAGGCAACGTTGTGGTTTGGCAAAGTGTAAAAGCTTTGAATTTGATATGAGTATGCATGTGTCTGTGCTCATAATTCGGATCTATGTACACATTGATTGATATCTTTCGCTCTCTTTCTTCCTTTCACATTTTCGATGGTTCTGCACGACAAATTCTGACAGTTGACATGGCCTGAATCATGTAGTCGAAAAAAGACGAGACGAATCAAACATTACAAACGTATATATGACGAATGCGAAATCTGTTGAAGAAGAAGAGATGTGAAATGCTCATAAAATCGCATCGTTGAATAGATATTTATGTGTGTTGCCGTGAATGATGTGAAAAGTATGTTTATGTGTGTGTAGTGGAAATTTTTTTAGCAATCAATATTCATTTATTACTCTCACAAAACACTTTGTCACAGTGAAAAGGATTTTTGTCTTCTTCTACAGTTGATCTCTTCGGAAATAAGATGTACGTCTTCGTTTGAATAGTATATCGGTGCTTTAGCAAGGCATCAGACATTATAGGTTTGAGCTATGGATATAGCGGCTGCTATTTCATAGCCGCTATTCATAGGCGCCATTTAACTCGTTTTAATGCGTTTGTGCATGTTGTGCGTTATTTTCTACATAGCAGCCGCTATATGCATAGCTCGAGCCTAATGTCTGCAAGGCATTCACTGGTTCATTTTCAACAGACAAAGTTTGATTGTCGCATCAGCGCTCAAAGTCCTTTTGGTCGAAATACACAAACAGCATCAATCATTTGTGATTGTCAGCGCACGGAAACAGGAACACACAATTCGTCGACGACGCACAACACACAAATATGAGACGTTGCCTTTTGTCTTTAAATGCGCTTCATTTATTTTTATGGTTATGGCAAACAATGAATACATACAATATATATTTGCGAAGAGTGTGCGTAAAAGTATACTACTTGACTTGTAACGATATTGCTGTGTCACACAAACCAGAAATCAACGCACTACCAACCTATGAATATTACAACACTTGTACTCTCACATCGACGGCTACATACACAAGCACACATTTTGAGCATAACGAAAAATGCAAATGATGCAAAATGCTCCATGATTCTTGAAACGTGCAAAAAACTTTTGGAAAATCGTTTATAACAAATATTTTCCCTAGCCGAGAGCTGAGATTGGATACCATCACCAAAAAATGCATTTTATTTTATTCAATTTAACTTTTCAAGTGAAAATATCAAATCCCATCCCACCACATCACTTAGTCATGATGACGATATGCTTTCGATAAAATCAAAGCACGAAAAAGTCGCAAAATAGATTTAATGGATTGAATTTGATGGTGTTACCGCTCAAATGGATGAGAGTGAGCGAATGAAATGACACCAAAATAATTGTCCTCAAGCCAAACTGACAAAAAAAACTCCCTTCGATGGCCATATAACTTATTATCGTTTCCCAATGAACTCTTCCACATCGATTTCGTTTGTGCGCGCTGCGCGCATAAAAAAAGTTTTTCTCTTTCAGTTAAATTCGACGCGCACGCACACACAAAAATGAATGAAGATATTTAATTAAAGCATGGCAATCAGACGAAAATCTGATTACAATGTAAATAGTTTGGATTTGAAAATTTGGTTCCATTTACTTTCATCCAATG